CGCCCTAACTAACTCCCCCGCCCTAACGCCCCCGCCCTAACTAACTCCCCCGCCCTAACTAACACCCCCGCCCTAACTAACACCCCCGCCCTAACTAACTCCCCCGCCCTAACTAACTCCCCCGCCCTCCGACAGAGCATGGGTAAATCGCTGACGTTCCGCGGCGCTGTGTTCGAGGCCCAGGACAAGCTGAGGCGCCACCGCTGCCGAGACCCGCTGTGCGACACCCACATCTGGAAGGTGAAGCACGAGCTCGACATGGCCAGGGTCAGGATCAAGCAGCTGGAGAAGGAGCTGGAGTCCCACGGCGTCAAGCCCAGTAGGAAGTTCGCCAGCAGGTATGTCGCTTTTTTTTGGAGGGATCGAAGGCGGATAACTGAGCAGTCTTTTTTTATTCCAGGTGGAGGAGAGAGAGAGAGAAAGAGGGGGAGAGAGAGAGAGACAGAAAGAAAGAGAGAGGGAGAAGGGAGGAGAATCGAGGGGATCTCTCTCTCTCTTTTCTTTTCTTTTTTTTTTCTTCTTTTAGGGGGGTTGACTGTGAGGATGTCGAAGGAAGGAAGAGGTAAAGAATGGTGGAGAGGAAAGTGATAGATGAAAAAAGGATAAGGTAATAATGGAAGAGGAGATGTAGGAGAAGGAGGAGAGGTAGGTTAGTCGTTAGTGGAGGCATGTTTGCTGAAGGAGCGAATGGGAGGGAAGAACAATAACCCTTGTCCTCTTTTCCCCCTTTTCACGTCTCACTCTTCTTGTTTATGTCTTTTTTTTTTTCATTCTAACCCTAATCAATACTAAGAATAAATCCCTTCTGCAGTTTTCTCAATAATGTAGCCAACCTCTCGCTCCCTGTACATATCCCGGAGATACTAGCCAGATATGGACACTTCAATGTGACAACTATGTGGACTTTTCATAGGTTTACGGAACCAGCGTACTTAAGCCAGCTGCCAGTCAAAAGTCACATTCAGTCACCTCACATGATTCTCTGAGGCTTATTCTTATGTTTTGATTGTGTTCAAAGGCAAGTACCACGCGTCCGTAAGCCTATTGTTACTCTGTCTTTAAACACCTCCGAATCCTTTTATTAAACTCATCATAGGGTGTTGTAGGGTTGCACTTCTCTCTCACGCACAAGAGTGATTTTTTTGCCGTGATTTGCATTTGCTCCTGGATTGCTGTGTCAGATTCGTTATTTTTTTTCCCTCCCACTTCCTTTTCTTCTTTACTGATTTTTTCTCAAGGAAAATTAACCTCTTGCCTTGCCTGTCCACAATCTCTCACTGCCCCTCCTTGCATGTACATCTCGTTTCCTTAAGATATCAATTTAGTTCATTCCCTGTACCTTTTTTTTCCCCTAAGCTGAATCTGACATTGTCTTCCAGATGATATGATTTCCTTATGGCGGTCCGACTTTGGGATTTTGTTATTTCCTTCATTATGATTTCTTTAATCTGTTTTTTTGTGATGAACTTTATCTTTCTCCCTCAACTGTGGGGGGAGATGTCCCCACACTGCACCCCCCCATATCGGCATAGTTGGTCTTGTTTCCCCCCCTCTTGATGGGTGGGCGGTGTTTTGACTATCACGAACACTAAGACGCTCACAAATGGATCATCCCGCTTACTGTGGCAGATATTTTTGCACTCTTTTTGCTCATGGGTATTATATATAAACACATCTCGGTGTCGTTTCACAAGACGCCATACTATTTGCATTTAAAAAAAAAGATGAAAAAGCTTTTTTCTTTTAGCAGAAATCGAATGAGGTGATTATTTTATGAACCATTCCATAGTTTGCAATATGTGACTCATAATCTGCCTGCCCTTGCCATTCATTACTCCCTCCGACTGCCCCCATTAATCACTAGTGATAATTTTTGATATATATATATATATAGTACTCATTCGCCTCCCCCCCCCCCACCCCCATTGATGCCACAACATGCCCAGCCGCCCTCAGCCACCGCACACATCAACGCCCTTTCAGAATCTCCAGGCCTGACCAGACCATTAGTTAATGTGTATCTTTTTTTTAACTATTATTTTTTTTTTTTTGTCTTTTGTTATTTTTTTTCGTTTTTTTTTTATGTACATCTCTCACTTAAGACTCTTTCCCCTTCCCTCCTACCCTCGTTTGGTGTTTAGACAAGGCAATATACTCACCAGCTGTTGGAAACCAAGAGCCAATGACGAAGGCGATGGAGAACCTGTCCCCCAGATCCTCAACGTCTACGCTAGGTGAGTTAGTCCTTAAGATCACACTCGAGCCTTTTGCAACTTCCGTCCCTTCAAAATAAAAACCCCCGTCTTGTAAAACTTTTTTTTTTCTCAAACTATTGAAACATATGTATATATATCTCTCTCACTCCTCCAGGAGAAAAAGAGTTATTTGAATATTTTTTTTTCATTGAGATCAGTGGGTGTTTCACAGTATCCGATGAAGAGGAGGAGGTGGATACATATGTTATTTCTTCGGCTTCGTTTCGGCTTAAGGAGGCTTTTTC